AAGAGCGGGCCCTACCCCTCTCACTGGTCAGTGCCTTCTAGAACTGTCCATCCCTCAAAGAGACCTTATCACAGGGCCACTCAGAGGTGTGAGTGTGTGTTTTTTTATAGTAGCCAAAACAGCCCTGCGGCAATGCAGGGTCTTATCAAAATCTGTGCTTTTGGAAATGAAATTCAATAAAAGCTTTTTGAAGTGTTTAACCTGCCGTGGCTCTGTATGTCCCATCCTGGTGATTCTTCTGAGACCACCCAGGGAGGGGCTTCGCATGTGATTGAACCACGGAGGAGATTCTTTCCTGTGTTAATCCTGGGCCTTCGAGAAGCAGGTGCCAAGATGAGATGAAAGGCACGTAGATTACACTAGGGGAACTGCCCGTGGGAAAGGAAATTGGGAGCAAACCGGGGGAGGCTGGGGACCCATCACACCGAGATGCAAGTCTGATCCCAAGTGAAGGTTCGGCGAAGCTTCTGGGCAGTCCTTGAGCCGAAGTAAAAAAAAAAAAAAGGTTTTTAATGGTATATGATCCCATTTTTTTTTTTATCGTAGTAAACTATATGTAACATAATACTAGTCATTTTGATCACTTTTAAGTGTACAATTTAGTAGCATTAAATTTATTTACAATGTTGTATAGCCGTCCTTACTATCTATACCCAAACCTTTTTCATAATCCCCGATATAAATGCTGTGCTCATTAAACAATAATTCCTAATTCCCCCTGCCCCGTTCCCCCAGCCCCAGGCAACCTTTATCCTATTTTCCGTCTCTATGAATTCACCTGTTCTAGGTGGCTCGTATAAGTGAAGTCATACAGTATTTGTCCTCTGTGTCTGGCTTATTTCACTTGGCATAATGTCTTTAAGATTCGTCATGTTATAGCATATATAAAAATTTTGCTCCTTTTTGTGGCTGAGTAACATTCCACTGAATGTATACGAGTATCTCCTGCTTTCTAAAAGCAGGCGTTAGGCCACTTTGCTTTTACGAAAGACCTGCATTAGTACAGTAACAGTTTTACGTAAAAGCGGAAATACTCTTCGGATTTCCTTTGGTCAGCAAAAACTCACTGCCGTAAAAGCGAGTGGCCTAAAGCAAACTTTTGGAAAGCAGAGGACACTCTGCTTTATGCCGTTTCCACTTAGGAAAGTTTTCGCAGGCACCTCTGTTTTTGGATAGCAGGGGAAACCTGTATTCCAACTTTCCTTTTTCCACCGATCCATCAGTGGACAGTTGGGTCCTTTCTGCCTTGTGAATAATGCCACTGTGAACAGTTGTGCACAGATACCTCTGTTCGATTCAAAGTTGTTGTTAAGCCAAAGTCAAATCAGTCAGCAAAGGAGTTGCATGTCCCCCAGGAGCCAGTGTGGTGTCTCCTGTCCCCACTACAGTCATCAGGAGGTGTGACCTTGGATGGGGATGGAATTCAAAGCCAGCAGCTGGGGCCCTTAGTCACTTACATTCCTCGGGGTAGAAAGTCAGCGGTGTGCGTTCTCATGGCCGCCACACCCTGTGAGATCTGCCTAGAACTTCCTCACTTCCTAGCCTCCCAGGAGTCCTTCTGCTGCCCCAGGGTTGTTTGGAGAAATCTCCACTGCTGCAGCTACCTTCACGGAGGTGGCCCTGGATGCTCCCAAAGGTGCAGCCTTTGTGGTATGGGAGAAGGACTTGCTCTGGGCCCCACTTGGTCCCCTGGGCCCTGACTCTCTGCTCATGCTCAGATTGTCACGAAGTCCCTCTTAGTCCCATGAACTTGCACCTCTGCACCTTTTCCCCATGGGGGTTCCAAACCCGTCCAAGGAATTGCTGGGGGGCAGACCCCATTCTCTCACCTCTATCCTTCCAGTCTTTTCTCACCATGCTTTTACCCCTTTCGTTCCATGCCACCTCCCTGTCCCCATCCCCACCCAAGTTATGAAGTGGCAGAAACCAGTGTGAGGGGAGGGTGTGTGTGTGTGTGTATTTACATCTCGTTTTCAAAGCTGGCTGATCATCAGAATTGCCCAGGGAGCTTTTTAAATGCCTCGATTCCCCAGGGGCTCTACCTCTAGAGATCTGATTCACGGCAGAAGTGACGATGGTAGTGGAGAAGGAATTTTCCAGGTGAAACATGGAAAGTCATCTCAGGCAGCACATGTAGCAAATACAAAAACAGGGAGCTATGAAGGAAAATGTCATACTCAGAGACAGACAACAGCCCGGTGTGGCTGGAGCCGCAGGTGAGGAGTGCTCGGCCTTGAAGATGAGAGTTCACGAAGGGCCTTGAATGCCATGCTAAGGGGTTTGGACTTGATCTTGTAACCCCTGCCGGCCTGCCTGCCTAGCCCATCCCTACAGGGTTGCTTCCACAGTCAAAGCGATCAATTTGACAAGTGCAAAGTTCTGGAACTGAAGCAGCATTGACCACCTGGAGCTGCCAGGGCCTTCACTGGAGGCAGGTGGTTGCCAGTCTAGACAAAGCCAGCTCACATCCCAGAAACCTTCAGGAGGTCAAATTGTAAGTGCACCTGCCCGTGCATTCTCTTTTTCCGTTTATTGGCGTTCAAGGAGGTTTATTGGCTATTTTTGCTTTATTGCTACCTGAGCCTCGAAGAAAGCTCTGTAATGCTCCAAGATAGGAAGTTGCCAGAGGTACCGAGTTGCCTGGATTTCATATTTTTCTCTCAAAGGCAAAATAATGAATCAGGAACAATATCCTTTCAACTACATATTTTCTCTTCCTAACGATTTTTGAGAGACCTTGGATTTCATCATATACAACGGAGAAGTCATTGTGAAATGCCATGACAGGTGCCAAAGGCGTCTCTTGAAAAGAGTTTGGCCTGCGCTTGGATCCTGTGTCCTGTCTTGGGCACATATTTATCGTGTACTTTGTGCCAGGTAGTGTGCAAGGCACTAGATATAGAACAGAAAAATTTCTAGGAGCCTCAATTTTCCCACCTGCAAAATGATAATATTATGTTAAAATAGTACCTAACTGGAGGCGGTATAATAATAGTGGTTAAAAGCTGGGCTTTGGGGTCAGACCTGGATTCAAATTCTCGCTCCACCACTTTTCAGCAGTGTAGTCTTACTTAATTCTTGGTAGCTTCCTTAGTTGTAAAATGGGAATAAGAACAGTGCCTATACGCGAAGAATTTCGATGACAATTAAGGGAGATCATGCTTAGTACATGCTTGGCCCATAGTAAGAGCTCAAAAATGGTAAAAAAAAAAAAAAAAAAAACAAAAAAACCTCTCTTTTTTGTAAAACTAAAGAGTCTAGCCCATAGCAGGACCTAGTATATATCCATGGAGGTAAAGACCCACTGAACTGTAGATCACGTAGGATATTTTTGGCTATAAACAACGGAAAACCAGCTCAAACCAAATTAAACCATAAGCATATAAGCGTGCTCTCATATATGATAGCGCCAGGATTACGGGGCCGTCGTGGTTGACTAAACCCAATGAGTCTGAGTTTCGTGTAGATTCTCTTGGCTCTGCCAGTCCTGTATTTGGTAGCAGAATATCTATAGGCTTTCTGGCTCTCACACCCATGCATGGCAATGCTCAAAGGAAGAGAGAAAGGATTGTTTCTAGAAGTTTTCCCAGAAAAGAGAGGAGGAACTACACTTAAGAATGTATCCTGATAAAAGACACTTTAAATCTTTTTACTGGTGTAGAGTTTCCTTTGAAAAAAAAAGTGCAGATGGTTTACTGCTAGAAAGAAGTTTGAAAACCACCGGTTCATTATTTACTAGCTGAGTGACCTTGGGAAGGCCTGGTGCTGTGAAGATCACAGAGATCATTTAAAGGGCCACGTAAGCTGAAAGACCACAGAACCCAGGTTTCCTCCTATTCGGGCGGTGTGCCTGAACATGTTGTGGTTACAAAGACTCAATCTACTTCCCTCACTTGGACTGAACTTTGGCCTAGATCTGATGGCCTAAAATTAAAGTTCAAGTTTAAAGGCCTGCTTGGGTATGAATGCAAAGTTTCACTAATCAGATGAACTTTGACAGTCTGGAAAGTTGTGATCTACATCTGAAATGACTGCTGCTGGTCATGTGTATTTGGGGCCGGTGGGGGCAGGCAATGTCCCACGCAGGTCTATTTAGACACCTTGAGTCTTTGGTATTAGATAGATCCGCGTTTGATCCCAGCTCTGCTCCTTACCAACCACACCATTTTGAGTAAGTTTTAACCTTTGAGCCTTAGTATCCTCATCTATAAAATGGGGACAATAAAGTATCTTCATTAAGCTGTTTTGAGGATAAAATTATGTAATATATGTACAAGTATTTCAGCACAGAGCGGGGATCTGGTGCTCCACAAATGGTAGCCATTAATTCAAGACAGTTCTTCAAAGGTTGAATGTTGCGGGTAACACCCACTGATTATATGTTATTTATTTCTCTTTTTAAGTAGAGGGTATGCCTGTGTGATTAGTTGGGTGACAGCAAGAAGTGAGTTTCTGTCCTGTTTGGATTAAGGTAAAGGGAAATGAAACCAGCCAAGGACTCAGGAGGGGCATGGATCTCAAAGTCCCCAGGGAAAATGTGAGCAGGTACACCAGAGGGAGCCTTGGCACGAGACAGCAGATGGACTACTGCAGCCTCTCTGCCTCTGGCCCATGAAGAGCACACAATGAAGACAAGGCAGCCAGCCCATAACCGGAGGATCTAATTGTGCCGCTTCTGAAAAACGAAAACCACATATACAAAAATGCAGGAAGAAACAGGCTTTCACTCAAGGAAAGTTAGTAAAAGTGCACTCTTTATCATGTACATCATTGGAGAGGGAGGCCACTTGGAAGAAACCCCTGCACCCACACTCTCATCCTAGAGCTTCTCAGCTCCCTCTCTCCCTCCCTGGCGATTTGATTCCAGACCATGGGGCTATGAATCCAAGTGGCAGAAAAGCAGAGACCATTTGGTATCTGGAGACAGAGAAATGCAAGGCACAGAAAGCATTGTTATTCTCCTAAGTCTAGAAGAGATTTTCAGCCAGGATATGTGGTTGTTTCCTGGTCCTCGGTGGTCAAGACTGAGCCACCTCACAAAAGAGATAAAATCATTATTTTTAAATTCAGAATATAAATGCAACTTGAGTCCAAGTCAGAATGCTCCATACTCATCTAATAAACTCAGCCAGGAACCAAGACACATGGTGGTTCAAGGTTTTCTAAAACAAGCTTAGAAATGGAGTAAAGGAGAGGGGACACTTGTAGGTGGGGATTAACAGGGATCCGGCCAAGGACAGATAGGAAGGTTGGCTCTGGGTAAGGAAGCAGCTATTCTTCGACTTCGCTAAGTGAACTCAGAGCCTCAAAGAGGAAGCAATTCAAATGTCATGAGCCAGCTTGCCAGACCAATAAGAATGATGCAAGGCATTCGTGAAACGGAAGGTGCTTCCTAATATTACAGATTAAGCAACTATGGTTCAGGGGGGCCGACTACTTGCTCTTTCAGCATCAATATATGTGGTAGACAAAGGATGACTAGGCAAATAAAAAATATCTCCATCTATGTAGATATCCTAGGTTTAATGGCATCCGCCCAAGCTCATTGGATATTATATGCCCAATATATTGTGAATTCTTTATACTGCTTAATAAATGGGGTCAGTAACTGAGATATTTCACAGTGTTCAGTAGTTAATAGCACACAGACAGTAAAATATAATGGTTTTCTGAAGATAGTCTTAAAAAATATTAGTCCTTGTGTTTTTCAAATGGGTATACAAACAAATGTTTCCAAAACTCAGAGAAAATTTTATTTAAAAAAATCAAAACTAGAACCTGATATATAAAAATAAGCAAAAATGAGAAAAAAGCACTTTTATGACAGGTAATTAGTTTGAAAGACTGACCACAGAAGAATCATTTACTCATAAAGAGGCTCAAAGAAGTTAAAAAACAACCCACCCACATGATTTTATATGGACCTTATGAAAGTCCTTATAAGGGATTTAAAAGTCTTTCAAAGGTTAAGGTAATCATTTTGATTGAAGTTGACTACTTCCTCCAGTGCTGAAAGGTTCTAGCAAGAAAATGCCTCGTCTCAAGTGAGGATTATTTTGAAATATGGTTTAGATTTAGAAAGTAAACGGACGTTAGGAAATTTTCCTTAAGTAAGATCCCCGGAAGTAAGGCACATATGGCCCAGGGAAGCTGGTGGTAGCCTAAGGTCCCTGTTTTCTGTAAAGCATTTGTTCAGCCGGGGTGTCAGGTGGTGGTGGTTAGAGTCTATTTTTTTTTGCCTTTGGCCTGGCTCCTGACGGAAGGGTGAGAATGACTCAAGGAAAGTCAAAAAAAAAAAAAAAAAAAGGATTTAACTAACCTATTGCATAATGATCTAAAAAATACAAACTTTGAAATATTTAAAGAGTAAGAGATTATCTTATATAAATCTGTCACACACACACACACACAATATTTACAAGCTAAGAATCTTCATCTGTTGCTAGGATCACTATAGAGTCTAAAAGAACATCACACTCAACATACGGAAAAGGAAAGGGAGGGAGAATAGTCAAGGTTCCCATCCTACTCTTTCCTTATGGATTAAAGGCTGATTTGGTCCCCCATTTCATCCTTGGAAGGGAAGAGCTCATCTCTGTGTTGGCCTAGATGCCTCACTGTTTTGCCCCCACAATGCCTTGCAACATATCTATGGGCAGAGGGAAGATAATCGTTGAGTTTTTCTCAGCAGCAATGGTGGTCAGTGTCTGAAGGTACCGGAGCTGAAGGGCCGCAGGAGATTCAGTGATGACCATGGAGGCTTCTTTCAGAGCCCTGGATGCATTCATTTCTCCCTCAGCTGCAATGACCTGTGGAACAGTAGGAGGAGAGATCAAACTGGAGAAAATGCCAGGAGGCAAGCAGCAATCTTCACGCTGGTGTATGGGTGCCTCGGGTGGTACACAAAACTTTCAGGGACTATGCCAGAATAGTTTTAAAAATATCATTTTCTAGATACTCAGTTTCCCTGCTCTTTTTCCATATAACTGAGTCTAGGTCTGAGGTCTTTTACTATTGCCTTTCTCTCATTTTCCAGGGCACTAAACAAAAGGACAATTCAAAATACTGTGTAAGGGGCTGAGAAAGTGAATGACTGGATACAAATCCTTTTGCTAGTCTGATAGATGTGCAATTCCTTGATTTCAAAGAGAAAAATGAGGACCTTGTCGAACTAAAAGCTGATAGATCATTAAAAATATTTTTTGATGAAAGATCACTTTATGATTTTTTTAGCACATAAATTCAGAGGCAGTGCTAAGAATTGCATGACATTAAACAAAACTTCCATTTCTATCTATTTATTTATTTATTTAAACAAGGTTCCTTAGATCTTATATCTATAAAAATGAAAAATAATAGAACTGATGCTGAATCTTGTCTCATTCTAGCAATAACAGCCATCTGCAAATATATGAATTTCTCATTCATCTCATTAAGAGAAGCATTTCTAGTAAAAACATGATTTAGGAGAAATTCTGAAACATTTAGAGCCTTGTTTTTTTTAATCAGGAGAAATTTAAAAAATAATTTTAACTTATATACTAAATGTATTGCAGTAAAGTAATAAAATAATTCATGACAAAATATATCGGGGAAAGAATCTGTGGTGGAGGTAGAGGGAAATATAAGTTCAAGGAGAAAAAGGAACCATGAAAAATTTCTCACTGTTAAAAGAGAGCTTATTCACATATTTTTAAATAGATGATGAAATATCGTTATTTAAATTTCACTGGATACATTTAAAAGAATGATGTGAACAGTTTTATTTTAAAATGTCAACATTTAAAATATGCCAGGAATTATATACTTGGCAGGAATATAAATTCAAAATGAAAAATTTTATATTCTATTTAAAATGTATGATGAGATACAATTTTTCTAAATTCTTTTAGAGTTACATGGGCAAAAAAGTTTGGAATCATTGGAGTTCGGGGGGAGAACAGGGACTTTGGAGTTAAAACTCACATCCCAGACCTACTCCTTACTAGCTGAATGTCCTCATAAAGGTTATTTAACATCTGAGCCTCGGTTTGTTATTCTTCCTCACCTTATAGGCCCACCATGAGGAAGACAGAGAAGGCATATTGAGTGTTGATATATAAACAGTCTGTTATATAGGAATGGCAAATAACAAGTCAAGACCTGATTTTTGGATCTACCAATGCCTTAATTCATAAAAGATTCAGAAGCCAAATCAAAGCAGTTACTTTAAATTCATAATCTTAGGAGAAGAGGTGTAAAGATACCATAATCATCAAGATTAAAAGTGCAGTTCCACTAGGTTGTTCTCACGTGGACCTCAAAATATTAATGGTTTATAATGTTCTTGTGAATATCAGAATTGGAAGCCATGGTCTTATGACCAATAAAATTTCATTCACTCATCCAGTAAACTTCGGGGTCTTTCCAGGTGTCAAGCCCCTGTGTAGGAGCTAGGGATAGAGTGTGAACCTCCTCGCCTCCTTCAGCTCTTGGTCAAATAGGGGAGACAGACATGGAAATAGGTCACTTCACCTCAGTGAGACAAATAGTGACAGAGAGCTGGTGTTGGGGATGGAGGAGGAAATGGATTGGGGAGCTATTCAGGAGGAGATTCAACAATCCGGAGGCTGACTGGGTATGGGGAGGAAGTGGAGACAGAGGCCGGGTCCCACCTAGGCTTCAAAGTTTTGGTTGCCTGGGTAGTGACATTAGGTGAGGTACAGGATACAGGATGTGGTACCTACTGAGAGGAAGGACCCAGTTAAGAAGATAAAAAACCTAATTTATCAAGGCAAACCGTTATGTCCTAAGTCTGTGAAAAGGGGCAAGTGCCAGATACTCTCAGAGAATCATGTAACTGTTCTCCAAGGCAAGTGCAGCACAGAATGCACAAATAAACCCCTGCCACAAGGACAGCAGACTCCGATTTCTTTTCCTTGTCATTTCAGATGTCCAATTAGGCAATTTTTTTTTTTTTTTTTTTTGGTCTGGACATGGACTAACTGCAAAGATACCTCATCTCTCACTATCAATCAATATACAATCTCTCGGCTGGGAAGCCAGATGCACTGGGCTGGGCACACAAGTTGTTAATAGAAAAGCTGCTCTGAGCGGGCTGCCAAAAATGTGAACATATACCACTGGCTTTGCCTAAATATAGGCCAAGTGTGCGCTGTGGACTGGATCTTAGAAAGCAAAGCAAGACACTAGTGGGTATGTGGGGCTTTTGCCAAATGTGCAGTAATCTCATGTCAGTCAACACTTTATATTTACGAACCATCACTTTAAAATCTGGCATTTTCAGGTGTGTGAGACTGAGACTATTGTCTCCTCCTGCAGCCCAAGTGCGCTGGTCTGGGAGAAAGGCAGAGAAAGGTGATCTGTATTTCTGCACTCCACCCTCTCAATTAATAAATGACCAGGCCCAGAAACAGGAGCTAGAAAGTACATGTCAGGCATCTTTCTGAGAGTTACGTAAAAGGAAATAGGGAGAATGCAGGCACAAAAGATACTACCTTTCCAGTCATTAAGAAGTGGTTTATAAACTTTAAAAGTGACTCAGCTAACATTATGCAAAACCGGTGGGAGAATCTGTCCTCTTTTCATTGGCTTTTTTCATAAATTATGTTTGTGAGCACTTGTATGTTCATTCACTTTGTTGTATAGTATTTCTTCATGGGAATAAACCATACTTAATTTATCCATTCAACTAGCAATATACATTGAGTAATTACAGAGTGCTGCTGTGAATATTCTAGTACCTGCCTTTTGGTGAATGAATGAGTGCACTTCTGTCAGGTACATACTGCCAGACAGTTTTACGAAGTGGTTGTACCAATTTATACTCTTACCAACAAAATATGAGTTCCAGTTCCTCCCTCATCCACACTTTTATCTTTTTTCTTTCTTTCTTTTTTTTTGTTTGTTTGTTTTTAAGCCATTCTGATGGATGTCTAATGTGGTATCTGCTTGTGATTTGAATTTCCATTTTCCTGATGGCTAATTAATTTGAGAAATTTTCTCTGAAGTGTCCTAATCTATAGGTTCTTCTATTCTTTTCCTTTACAACTTATTTGTTGAAGAAACTGCGACCCTCTATTTTCCATGAGAACTTCAATACATAGTTTTGAATATATAGCTTTCTGGTTGTTGCAGGGTTACTGTATTTTACAGAAGGGCTGGGCTCACTGTGATGCTATGTATTAACTCTAACCCTAAGACAGACAATCACTGCCCAGGTCCGCGAGGTGGCTTCCAGACCAGCCTTGCAGCCCCATCCAAGTGGGAGCACAGTAATTCAGAATTTTAACCAGCCTCTTTTACCTCTTCTTATTGTTATAAAGGGGTAGGATTCTTAACTGGTGAGAACACTTGTAGAAGAGGCTCAGTCCATCCTGAAAAGCCCAGAGGAGGCAGCAAGGAGCAGAGGGGAATTCTAATATCCATCGCCACTAAAAGACAGAGTGACCTTCAGGCAATCACTTAACTTTTCTGGGCTTCAACTTTTTCATCTGAATAGTAGGATGGAAGATAACTTTTATTTTTAGAGCCAATTCCAAGCAGTTGCAGGTTGTTCCCTAGAGTGCAACAGAAAGTCAAGTCTATACCGAGTGGAAAACAGGTCTGTGCTTAATTACTGGCATGGGCATAGAAGGGTAGGGTGGCAGCATCTGGGCCAGGTATTCATCACCTTTTGTAATCTCTAAGGACACTTTGTTCTCTGATAGTCTATGTAGTCAATGTATGATAAATTCTACTGTTCAATATAATTTGGAAATGGGGCTTTTGGTTAATGACATATTCTAGGTAAAAGCACCTCTTGATTTTCAAAATAATTAGGTTATAGTAGGCCTATTTACTACTGTCATAAATACAATCTTGCCTTCTAAATGGGATAATTTTGAGAAAAAGCACTTGAGGGTTCTGCCGTGTCACCACGTTAACACAAGCATCAATAATCACATTCAAAAAACCTAAAAATGCTGGTTAGTAGAAAATTCTGGATGTATTGTGTCAAATGAGCTACTGTTCTATTTGGTACTTGCTACGAAATTATAGCGAACTATTTGTGGCTTAAAGGGCATTCTGAGAGAAGGGCAGAGTTCTGTGGTTAGCCAATTATCACTAGATATTGACATTTTTCTAACAACAGCAAATTGGTTTGCTCTTTGTGTCTTGGGAGATCTGTCAAGTCCACGGCAACCACCCCCTCCATGAAAACTGCCCCTGTTCCTCCACCCACTCACAGGCAAGGGGCTGTGGGACCTTATTAGCATCTGACTTTATCCTTTGACCAAAGTTGGACCAAAGAAGATCTTTCCACTGAATTTGGAATCAGGGCTGGTCCGTCTCCTTTAATGTTCAATTTGAGTCGGACTTTCTCCCCCTCAAGCCATCTGCCGTGAGACGTGGCCCCGGAAGTGAAATGGCTCCTGCCCTACACATTTGATTCCTTTCCGGCCCCTGGCTCCAATTCTGAAGAGGCTGGACTGTACTTCCTCTCCTTGGGTTTGGCGAGATATCCCTGGGTCTTCATAGATTATCATCTCATTAGATCTTCTTTTCTAGGTTAAGTTAATGAATATTTCCTCAGCACATAGGTGCAGGGGTCTGGCACCTATGCAGGTTTAAGACACAGGCAGGGATGATGATGACAGGAAAGAAGGGGAGAAAAAAAGCAGGCACCAAAGAAAGAGAAGTGAAAAAAGGAAAGAAAGGAAAAAGAAACAGTAAGAAGAAAGAAGATCCTAAGAAAAGAGAATGAGAGAGAAGACAAAAGAAAGGAATGAATGGTAAGAAAACTCACAAGGTTGGCCATCTGCTCTGAAATCACAACTGTTAATTTGTCCCTTATAGGGGGTTGGGAGAAAAAAAAGAAGTGGCATGCAATTAATTAAAAAAAACCCCCAAACCGAAATAACTCTGTATGTACTAATGAGCAGAACAACGTGCATGCTGTACCCTAAAAGAAACAAGCCAGTAGTCTCATTAAGCCTAGTCAAACGAAACCTAAATAAATCTCAAATGATAATCTGGAAATATATACACTAAACTGTGAAGAGTGGTGGACTTTGGCGGGGTACGATTTGAAGGGACGGGGATGGCTTTCATCTTTAATAAATAGTTCAGGGTTATTTCTAATTTTTATATGTTTTACTTTTTCTAATTGAAAAGAAAACTCAGTAGGAAAAATAAACCACACACACACACAAGCACGCATGCACGCGCACACACACACACACACACACACGAGATGACCTTGGCTCGGGCCTCCCGGGATGCCTCTGCTTCAGCAGCCATTGCCCTCTGGAGCTGTACGGGGAGTTTCACGTCCTTAATCTCCACGCGCTCCACTTTGATTCCCCAGGCATCAGTGGCATCATCCAGGGTAGTCTGATAAAGAGAGAGTAGGTGAGCTGAAATGGTCAGCCCCAGCCCAGAGGCCGAAGGTCACTGTACATACTGGGCCTTGGGGTGGATAAGGTGCTGGTGGAGAGCTAGTAAGAGGATGAGGCATCCTCCTCAGGAAGGAATGCTGAGGTAGGCGCTGGCTCACTGGGGAGCTGACCCCGATTCTGTTACTGATAAGCTAATGTGGACAAACTTTTTCTAAAAAGGCCAGATAAATTATTGTTTACTTTCAGTTTGTCGCAACTATTTAACCCTGCCATTGTAGGTCAGAAGCAGCCATGGATGACTTGTAAACCAATGGGTGTGGCTTTATTCCGATAAAACTCTACTTATTAAAACAGATGTCCAGCCAACTCCCAAGCTCACATGACTCCGTGTAAGCCACATATCTTTTGTGCTTCAACTTCCTCTCTTTACAATGGTAAGAATGAAATCATACTATTTCCTGTGGTTATTGAGGGTATCAAATAAGATCACAGATTTTAAATACGATGAAGTCTATACAAATACCACTGAGTTCAGGTTTATAGTACTTTATCCTTTTTGAACAGGTTAGGTTTAATTCATTATCCGTTACTCGAGCAACACTGAAAAGCTTGAGTTGCAAGGGAAGTCACGGGACTCGCACAGAGAATACAGGTTTAAGAATATCTACACAATCTTGCGGAACAGCCTCTGAACTATCATGCTAAAGAAAAAAAGTTAATACTAATTCCGGAAAAAAAAATATACATTGGAGGGAGTAAAAAAAATAATGCATGCATCTGAGTGTTATTACTCATGGGCTATTTGTGTGAAAAACATCCCCTTCCATCAAGTTTAGGAAAACTTTTCCACAAAGGAAAAAAAGTATGACTTGCAACTTGAATTGATGAAAAGTTCTCAAATAATCACTGAGCCTTTGCTTCAGTTTTCATCTTGTAGTGAGTGACAGCACCGGCCCACTCCTCACCTGCATGTTGTGTGCAATTTCTTCTCTGTCGGAGAGGATCTGAGAAAGGTTCTTGGTGCCCAGGACGTTCCTCAGAGTAGTTTGGGCCAAAAGCCGGGTTGCTGAATCAGCGTTGGTGATATTCGCCACAGCCAAGGTTGCATTCTGAACGCGGTAATAGACCACGCCATCCACGCTAACTGTCACTGAATCCTTAGTGAGGATCTACAATGTAAAGGAAGCAATTTTACATCTGTCAACCATCTCTTTCTTTAATATAACTGTAAGAAATGTTATTCTATGCAACGTCTTAAAACGCTAGCTGATTTTCTTTAGTAAGTGTTATTGACTAACTGTATTCCCCCAACATTCATTCATATGTTGAAAGCTAATCCCCGATGTGTTGGTATTTGGATGTGGGGGTGACTAGGTCATGAGCATAGAACCTTTATGAATGCGATTAGTACCCCTTATAATAGAGACCCCGGAGAGCTCCCTCATCCCTTCTGCCATGTGAGGACAGTGAAAAGACGATCATCTACAAAGGAAGCAGGCCCTATCAGACACTGAATATGCTGGTGCCTTGAATTTGGACTTCCCAGCCTCCAGAACCATGAGAAATAAATTTTCATTGTTTACAAGCCACCTAATCTATGGTATCTTGTTATAGCAGATCAGATGGACTAAGACAGTAAAGCATCAGAAACTTAACTGTCTTTAAAGCTTTAATAAAATATGTTCATTTATTCATTAATTCTATTACTTCATTCAATCATTCGACAAATAATGAGACACCACTCAGTAGCAGGCACTGTACTAGGTACCAGGGATAAGGGTATAAAAAAAACTTGATTCCTACTTTCAAAGAGGCTGGGGAACCAAGGGAGCCTTTAAGGAACAAAGGATGGGCAGTTGTAGGTGGCAGGGGTGATACTTGAACCAAGTCTTGAAGGAAGGGATAAAAATTTTCAGAGGGTAAAGAGAAAGAGTATTCAAGGCAGAAGAAATATGTGTGAAAAGGCGCAAAGATATGGGAGAGCCTAGATTTATATTTATTACTGGAACTATAGGTAGCACAGTATTACACTGACAAAAAGTAAATACGGAATGTTTTTATAGGGTGAGGTCAGGGTAAAAATATATCTACAGCATGCTACATATAAATACTTCCTAGGACATAATGTGTCAATGTTTCCTACCACCTTTGAGGCAAAGTCCTTAGTTTGGTATACTTTGATAAACCACAGTATACCCTCCCTCCTTCCCACATCATATTGGACGAGGTGTACATCCCTGCGGCACCACGTTGCATGTCCCCTGGCCTTTATGCAGGTGTCCCCTCTGCTTGGATGTCCTGTCTCCTCTCTCTCCTTTATAACATCAGACTGATACATTCTTACTCATCACAAGACACAGCCCAAGTGTCCTTTTCTCTGTGAAAGGTCCCTGAGTGTACTTGGCAGAGTGTGCTCTTCCCTTCACACCTCACTGCAGTGACATTATTTATGTCATTACTTTTCTATTAGGTATGAATTTCTTAAGGGCAAGTGGTCCCTGAATCTCCAGCACCAGCAGAGTGCTTGATACATAGCAGGTTGTCAATAAACGAGAGATGGATTGAATTGAAACATGGTCCTAGGAATACAGTGATTGGTGAAAAGCACGGGAGTGAGTTAGGAGACCTGAACTGTAGTTCCAACTCTGCCCGTACCTCCCTCGGTGACTTCTAGCTTTTAAACTGTTTGACCTAGAAATTCCTCATTTGTGACATGGGCTAATATTACTGCCTAATTCTACACAAATTTCTTCGAAGATCAAATAAGATGTTTGTAAATGAAGCTCTTTTGTAAGTATAAAGAGCTTTGAAAATGGAAAATAATAACAGTAGTGATATTATATAGCTTGTTTGGTCCTGTCAGGCATCAAAGCAGTAATCCTTTTTTTAGGAATCTAAATATACTTCTAACTTGGAAGAGAAGTAGAAGATTTGTAAGTAAATGTTTAGTATATTACCATCTTCTGTGAAAATTATTTCCCACGATGTGATGGGAAAATATGTATCATTTCTAAGCAAATTCTTGCCACTGTGACTCTGCCACAGCCAGAGCTTTCTAAGGCTGCAGCCTCTCTGCCTAATGTTTGTCGTAGGCAGGGTGTTTATCCCCCACTCACAGTAAATTCACAGGGGATCGTAAGAAAGACTGCCTGCCAAGATCCAATCCGCTCTGCATTCAGCAGCTTGCAGGAGAGGAGAGAGCAGCTGGAAGGCAGCCGCTTCCAGCAACCCTGCCAGATGCCTGCGATGTTTATGGAGGAAAATACCAGATTTCTCAGCTACCCTGAAAGGGGCTCCTTCTGAGAATCAATCTTGCCTGAGAGATGGGAAAACATGCGGAAAACACAGTGATGCTCTCAGTCTTCTTGTGGGTAAAAATGATTTCTAGTGTCACTGTATATGTTTGGATTATAAAGTCTGACCTCACCAACTACCTGGATCCGTATCAGCAAGGAGCTTCTGAGACTAGTTTCTGGACTTTGTGATAAGAAAAGACAATATGGCCAAGGTCCACTACCCTGCTGGATACCTGGCTTTTGGCCAGGAAATACTGACAGTATTCTCCTGTCCCTCCCTTCACTGTGTTTTTAAGTTTTCTGTCTGCAACAGTTACTATGCCTCCTTAGATGTGAGTACCAGGGCAGCCATCATTCTTCAGGGGCCACGAGGGACCTAATGTAGAACACATTCAGTATGGAGTTACAGAAAAAGCACTGGACAGTGACTGTGAGGAGCTGGATTTTCACCCTCGCTCTGCCACTGTTGTGTGGGGGGGTGAGGATTCCTCTGTCTCATGGCAGCTGTGTACTTTCTAGGGATTCTGCTGTGAGTTTCAATTGTGAAAATATTTTGAAGTAGTTTGAAAAAGCATGAAATAATTACTAATTTAAAACATTATATGCTTTATCTAAAATGCCGAATGAGCAGTGCTAATTCTTTGGATTCTAATCAATTTATCTAGAACAAAATCAAGAACTTTAGGAAGAAGAAAATCACACTCAATAGGATTTTCTGTCAGAAAACCCAGAAAATAAATGTGGTAGTAAAAACGACAATGATAATGCTAACATTATACTTACATTAACATTATGCTACAATAAGCATTTATACAGGACTTAACTATCAGCCGCTGCTCTAAGCACTTTATATATATAATGACTCATTAGTCCTCATAATAACCCTATAAAGTAGGTCCTACTATTATAATCTCTATTATAAAGATGAGGAAACTGAGGCACCGAGAAGTTGAAAAACTTGCTCAGGGTGACACAGTTAGAAAATGGCTCTACACCTATGCTCTAACCACTACTCTGTGCTGCCTCTCAGGGTCGAGCACTTTCCCACGTGGTGTCTCAAGTTATTCATAGCTAAAGGCCGCCTTACCTCCTGTGGAGGAATATCAAATGAAACAGTTCTCATGTCCACTTTGATGAAGCTGTCAGTGCACGGCAGAACAAAAAACAAACCTGCAACAAAGACCCGTAGAAAATTACAGAGATACCAGCACCTAATCGGTTTACTTCACCATTCAATTCTAACGGCATCAACCAAATCAACTGCAAGTCACCGGTTCAGCTCAGTGAATGAGCCAGAAGCCAGGAATGTTTTCCTTGACTCCTCTTGCTGACTTCCCAACTCTAACCGTCCCCAGCAAGGCCTGTGGGCTTCACTTCCTTCTCCACTGTGTCGGTCAGTCTTTTGTTTTCACTTAAACCAATGCATCTTTCTATTTCTTCCAGTTTCTCTCCTCTTATTCATTTCCTAAGCTGCAAGCAGAGCAGTGTTTCCTGAAATACAAACTCCTGAAGAAGCCAAACAAAGTTCTCCATGACCTGCTGCAGCTCACCGCTTTCTCTCCCCTCCCCTCGTGGCGGCACTCCGGCTAGGCTGAGCTGACTCCAGTTCCTTGAGCTTGAAGCATTCTTCTCTACGCTGCTTTGTACTTGTTGCTATTTCTGGCAGGA